ATAACCCGCGTCAACCAAATAATATTTACCTATTGAAATAAAAACACAATAATTAGTAAAATGTATAACATATATTTCATAAATATAGACAAGGTTTTAACCTTCTGGTGGTGTTGGAAATTTCAAATCTACATGACGTAGTATTGATAAGAATATTCTTGTATCATTGGCACTACCTTCTCAACCTGCATATACATATATAAATTTCATACTGAAATCGCAAGCAGTCATCACATTTTGAGTTGGCACACGCTTTCTTTCAATAAATGGCACATGATCTTCTAGTAGTATTGTAGCTGGAACGTGTACGTCATCTATTATACCAATACAATTCTAAAAAGAAGAAAGTTTTATTTATAAAATGAATAAATAAGAAAGGAAGCATATACTTAACTATGAGTTTACCTTAAAATGTGGCATATATCTACAATCCGTTAGTATCTCTTGAGGCACTACATTAAACTCTGGATCATCAGGCTTTATAACATCCATACTCATACGACCGACAATGTCTAGAACAGACTCAAATTATCTAATAACTGTTTCACCAGTGTTGAAATCGCTCTTGTGTTGAACGATTTCCCACACCCTAACCTAAAATGAATTAAAACATTCCTACTATTTCAAACACAGATATATTTCATGATTCTTCTAATCTGTCGTAACATTGCAAATCATTACATAGTTGTAAAGGCAGTTGATCATTATTGTCAGGCATCTCTGTTAACAACGGAGCAACCTGCATTTAAACATAATTCAATTAAAATAATGGAAAATAGCATTGATAATGGATACAAATAGAATACGGTATTTCGTACAATAATATTTAAAACATTGATAAAACAACAATGTCTAAAACATAAAGTAAGAAAACCACACTAAAAGAACATGTTACTAAAGGCACACTAAAGAAAATTTAAGAGGATTATCCTAGCCTGTGCTCAAACTTAAGCCAGTTGAGCTTCAACTCAGGTTGTTTCAAAGCCATAAATAACTCTCTCTTATTCTGGTCTGAGAACAAGTGGACAGCAAAAAAATACAACTCACTCCCAATCTCTAATTCAGGTAGAGAATCAAGGACTTCAATAACTTTTGCAATGCTACAATTTGCTGCTTCAGTTTGTGCAATGGATGATTCAGTACTTATAGTCTCAACCACATCGATAAGGCGATCAATTTGTTCAGACAATTTAGCAACTCTAACAACTTTCAAGTTGCCTTTTCTGTTCTTGCTTTTCTTATTTTTTCTCTCATGTGGCTCAATTTGCCGCTTCTTCTTAGGGTCTTGTGTGCCTTCACTGGGGATAGGTTCATCTGACTCACTATTACTCCCAACATCTTCAGGTAGAGCCTCCTTATCATTTGCATTTTTATCAGGCTCACATGGAACCACACCAGATGAGGGTGTCCAGGAAAACACTCCTGTGGCTATAGTTTTTGTAAACATCCTATCTAACTTTTCTTCGAACTCTGGTTCAATTCCCCCAAGAGCGAAACTTCACTGCATTAGGATGAATCTGCAAGAGTTCTTGCATCCAAATAATGGAGCAGCAGTTAAACATTCTGATTCATAAACTACAAAGGAGAATCACCATCAACTATCAAGACCTAAAATATAGGCGCAAAGGACTATCAAGAACATAAATTTTACAACTATCACCATCAACTATCTTTATGCTTATAATCCTTAGCCATCTCACTATCAAGAACTAAATTTTACATGCAAATAACTCTTATTAAAGCGCAAAAATCTGAATTCTCTAGTAATCAACAATTAGAGAATCACACACATTTAAACCAAAATCTTCCCATTCGATAAAAAATTACCAAATCCCTACAAACGAAGATCAATCAAAAAACATAACCGAGAGCAAGCTCAAATTCCAATCAAAACATAACCCGACTGGCTGACAAACAGAGCAGAGAAAAAAAAACAGGGGCCAAAATCTTCCCAATCGAGAGAAAAGATAACTAAATCCCTACAAACGAAGATCAATCTGAAAACATAACCAAGAGCAATCTGAAATTCCAATCAAAACATAACCCAAATAGGTGACAAACAGAGCAGGGAAAAAAAAAGGCCAAAATCTTCCCAATTGAGAGAAAACATACCAAATGGAAACAAACGAAGATCAATCGAGTACTTACAGAGGCTATTGATCTGATGAGCTCCAACCGGTAATCCCACAATCCAACGACGAAATCAAGAAACCCTAACGAGCACAGACTGAGAGAGAGGAGAGAGAGGAGAGAGAGGAGAGAGTCCGCCAATCCGAAAATCGCAGGAGAAGATCGGAAACCCTAACAACCACAGAGGAAGACCGAGAGGAGACTGGGGGAGAGAGAGGAGACCGCGAAGATGAAAGGGACACCGCGAACAGCAAATTTTTTTGGGAATGGGATTATTTTCATTCAGCAGGGGTAATAGGGTAATATTGAAAGTTTTATTAATGTGCCATAAGGACTGCTTCTGATTTTAGCTTTAAATTCTTAAAAAATTGTCCAAGAATCATTTCTTTGGGTTTTTAGATGGCTAAATAAGTGCTTTTGAGCTCCTAGAATCAATACCAAACTGGCCCCTAAGATGACAGTAAACAGACAGGAGATCGAAAGAATTTTTGCACTACATCAGGGAGTAAACCGGCAACAAAAGTACACAAGAATAAAAGTATAACATTACACAAATGTGACTAGGCAACAACGAAACATCATTACAGCTTTGGGAACAAAAATATGCAGCCAGTCAGAATAACATCTTTCCAAAAGGGAACAAAAAAGAAAAAGAAAAAGAAAATACAACATATTAGTATAAGTTCAATCAAATTAACATCTACCCAAAAACAACAAAAATATTAGACCATGATTACTGTACAATAATTTATTCCAAAATCAATAACAATATGAGAGGAGGTACGCATAATAGAAAGTGATGTGCAAATAAGTTAGTAAAACATTCACAAGGGACCAAACTTCAGTGCTTGTTACGAAACAAAAAGATCTATAGTCAAACAAATCGAATTTCAAGGAAAGAACATATGACTAATAATAAAGGGGAATTATAGCAAAAATAGTAATAATAAGAATAATAAATGAATACATCACAAAGTTAGCTAATTGATTTCTGCAAGTTTGTCTTACTGCTAAAAGAGAGTAATTAAGCATGTATATTTCGTCAAAATTTAGCACGATTATGCATTTTCATAGCTCTAAAAAGGATCTAAAATTAATAACAGGGAAGGGAGTGGATAAAAAAAAATGACGCAAACTAGAACAGCAAGCACAGTAGGGGGTCTAAAACGACAATCAAAACTCATGGAGCCAAGATGACAACATGTAGAGATGGATTCAATTAGGGCAAACGATAGTGAAATCACGCAGAACCATGGATCCACATTCACAACAAAATCTCAGAACATGCAAAAGTAAATAGGAGGCTGAAGAAGCTACCGTCGTGTTTGATCCCGTCGATGAGCACGTCGCTTCTACTGTGGAAGCAGCGAATCTCTGATAACGGGGCTAGGGTTTTTGAAGAAGGAGTGTTGAGGGGATTTATGGAGGACGAATGCGAATTGCTGTAGTGGGAGTGGAAGACACAACGGTCAAAAAGGGAGTGGAGAGCAGCAGATCTTTGAGAGAGAGAGCGGCCAAAATATGAACTGTCCGAGTAAACACTGTAGAAGATAGGTCTGAACAGCAAAATTGAGGGGATAAATTCGGAGTTGCCGTTCAACTCAAAATAAATTGTCAATTCAATCGATTCTGACAACGGGTAAAGCTACTGTCCTACCTTGTATGCAGGAATCGATCAAAGAGAAGAAAATCAAAGTCATTTCTTTAAGATTGAAAAACGGATGAGATCAGAAAGGCCATCATGGGCAAACGATGCAATAGCTTCGGTTAGAGCAAAGCCCAAAATGGGGTGTGTTTGGAGCATAGATCCTTGTCAAATTATGATTCGTGACTTATTATAATATTTTTTTTATAAAAAATATACGTAAATTGAAAATAATTCTAAATCATGATTCTGAATCCATTAACTAAACGCCCTCTAATTAAAAAATCTTATTAAATATTGTAAAAGATAAGTTTAAACGGCAAAATTGAGGGGGATAAACTCAGAATTTGAACCGTTCAACTCAAAATAAATTACACATTCAATTTTAATTAAAGGTATTATCAAACACTGTAGAAGATAAATCTGATCAACAAAACTGAGGGGGTAAACTTGGAGTTGAGTTGTTCAACTCAAAATAAATTGCTCATTCATTTCTAATTAAATGCCTTACCAAATACTATAGAAGATCAGTCTAAGCAGCAAAACTGAGGGGATAAATTCAGAATTGAGCCATTCAACTAAAAATAAATTACCCATTCAATTCTAACTAAATGCCTTACCAAACACTGTATAAGATAAGTCTGTGTAGCAAAATTGAGAGGGGTAAACTCGGAGTTGAGTCGTTTAACTCAAAATAAATTGCCCATTCAATTTTAATTAAATGCATTATCAAACATTGTGGAAGATAAGTTTGAACAGCAAAACTGAGGGGATAAACTCAGAGTTGAGCCATTCAACTCAAAATAAATTGCCCATTCAATTCTAATTAAAGGCCTTACCAAACACTGTAGAAGATAAGTATGAGCAGTAAAACTGAAGGGGTAAACTCAGAACTAAGCCGTTCAACTCGAAATAAATTGCTCATTCAATTCTAATTAAAGGCCTTAACAACACTATAGAGGATAAATCTGAGCAATAAAATTGAGGGGGTAAACTCAGAGTTCAACGTTCAACTTAAAATAAATTGTTCTTTCAATTCCAATTAAAGGCCTTACTAAACACTGTAGAAGATAAATCTGAGCAACAAAACTGGGGATAAACTCAAAGTTGAGCTGTACAACTCAAAATAAATTACCCATTTAATTTTAATTAAAGACCTTACCAAATGCGTATTCAGAAGACATGCCTGTTCAAACTGAACTGAACTACTCAACTAAACACGCACACAATTCAAATTAGCAAACCAAATGGTGGCTCGTCTTCTTAAAAGGATTTGAATATGTAAGATGAGAAAGTGTATTATGGTTTTGTGTACTGCAACTTGTGGAAAAAAAATAAGGTATCATTTATTTCACTGATCCGAGTTTAAAATTTGAATTTTACTACAATAAAAAACTCTCAGAAATAATCACATATAACTTTTTTACTACAGTAAAAAGCTCTGACATAACGCCACGTCTCAACTCGAATCAGTGAACTAAACGGGCCCTAAGTATGCAAAGCAATTTCATCGCATGACTTGACATGAGCTTTTTTTATTTGCTAGTCTATAAATCTTATGTGTGTGTGAACTAAACGGGCCCTAAGTATGCAAAGTAATTTTATTGCATGACTTGAGGAGCTTTTTTTATTTTTTTATTTCCTAGTTTATAAATCTTATGTGTGTGTGAATTAAACGGGCCCTAAGTATGCAAAGCAATTTTATCGCATGACTTGACAGGAGCTTTTTTTTATTTTTTTATTTGCTAGTCTATAAATCGTGTGTGTGTGTGTGTACACACCAAGTTCATTACCAGAACTCAGAGTTTGAGCAGACTTTCTTATCTCTGATTTCTCTTAGCCATGCGTGTTTAATGATTGAAATTCCATTTCATGATGTTGGGATAATAATGGCGAAAAATAATTGCAGTCTTAGTAGCGTAGAAGCCTCAATAGCAGACAAGAACCTCACGATTCTAAGTGGAATTTCAAGCAAATTAAATAAATTATTCTAAGAAATAAAAGGGAAATGGAAAAGGGGAGCTTCAGCTCTTTCTCATTCAATTCACCAAAGCTGCATAATAGCTGTCGAGTAAAACCTTATACACCCGAGGAACGCTTCTTAACAAAACGTTCAACCCAAAGGCAACAAAGCTTAAAATCGACAAGCCTGCTCATTACACAAGTCCACAAAACGATTAAGGAACGACACGTGCCAAATAGCTTATTACAATAGGTAGAATAACTAAAGTAGTAGTAAAAGATAAGAGGGTATTAAGCTTATGCGTCACTTAGAGGACGTTTAGTTGATGGATTTAAAATTATAATTTAAAATTATTTTTAATTTACGTGTATTTTTTATGAGAGAAAATATTATAGTGAATCACGAATCATAATTCGAACCATAACACGAATTATTGAACTAAACGCACTCTTAATTTTCAGTGGGGATAGGAAATCTTTGTCCCAATACCTTCTGCTTGCTTCTTGACGCATTTTTTTCTTTTTCCCCTTAACGCTTTTGGTCAGAATTCATTCGCATGCATATCTCTCTCACAGTCTTCTTTTTTTTTTTTTTTAAGTCAATATGTCAAGAGCATAAATCAACTCTCTCTCTCTCTCTCTGTCTAGTCATTATGTCAAGAGCATACTTGGAGAAGGCCGTTAAAAACAATTTTAAGTAGAAATTTATTTTAATGGGACAGTTACACAATATATATATATCTATATATTGTGGGGAGAACTGTTGGTATAATAATATTTTACAGCATTAGTAGAGAGATATTTAAGTATGATAACATTTGAAAAAAAAATAAATCGGGCAAATGCTGGAAAAAAGTTTAAAGAAAGGGCAAGAATGAAAAATATAAAAATTTTGGGACAGAAAAATAAAAAGAAGAAGAGAATATGAAAGGCAAAGCAAAAAAAAAAAAAAGAAAGAGCAAAAAAGTAAAAAAGAAAAAACCAACAAAAACAAAAAAAAAAGCTTTGGTTGATTACTGTAGCCTTGCTACAGTTCACATTTTGGAACTACAGATTTGAAGGACTAAAAAAAATTAAGGACACAAGAGGAAAAAATAAATAAATAAATAATGTAACATGAGCAAATTAAAAAAAAAATAATATCTATGAAAAAGTAGTGGTCCAAAATGGTGCCAAAAAAAAAAAAAAATTATTCTTCCTAAAAGGCAAGTAAAAAAGCAAATCCCAAAAGCATACACTATAAGAACAAGAAAAAATGACAACCTTAAATAATTAAGATATACAATTTGGGTGTACAAGCAAATATACGATTCAGGAGCAAGGACATACACTACAAGTACTTGGGATACTACAAATATTTCATCAGAAAAATAAAAATAAAAATAAAAAGTGCTTGGGTTGGTAATGAGGATATTGTCTATAAGTCTGCTCTATACAGGTCTATCTCCTACCATACAACAGGCCATCTATGTGTTCTTCTCTAGCTCTCAATTCAAGTTCATGTTAAAGTTTTTCTTCTTCCTTCTATGCCTTCCAAGTTGTATTATGGAATACAAAACATTTCAAAAAAATTCAAAATTCTCCACAATGAAGTTTCACCAGATTGAATTCCATGGCACACATTAGTAATGCAATCCGCAGCGAGAATATCTATACAGCATCATAATCATCAACCCCAACAACAGAAGACAGGGCCGACACCCATTTCCGCAATCCATTTCGAGCATCCTTCTTCGTTTCCACTTCCAGTTTGGCAACAGCCTTCTTCGGAACCCCGGATTTCACCAGAACAACAGCAAGAGATTTGAGTGTACAATCATCTGGTTCAACGGAAGCTTCTATCATTTCGTTGAAAGTTGCTACCACATCCTTAAATCTTCCACACATGGCATACAATCCAAGAATATTATTGTAACTCAGCAAATCAGTCAAGAGCCCTTGTTCTCTCATTTGCCTTGCAATTGCTATGGCCTCCTCAAACCTCCCAAGTTTCTTGTACATGCACAACATCATTGCAAATGTAAACTCGTTTGCAGCCCTCTTTCTTTTCAAGCTCTCAAAGATTTCTTCCGCTGGTTGAACCATAGACCGCTCGCTGTAAAGATCAATCATACAATTCGAGGAATATACGGCAGGACCCTCTTCTGATGATTGGAGAAGTTTATACGTTTCTTGTGCTTCTTTCAAGAAGCCAACTTTTGTGTAGAGCTTGATCAAGGAGTTGTATATCACCGTGTTTCCGGGTAAACCAGCCTTTTTCATTGCATCAACATAGCCAAGAGCTTCTTTGACACAACCAACATCAGCAAAAGCATTTATCAATATTCCAAAGACTATAACATCAGGCTGCACATCAAATCCAACCATCTCTTTATAAAGTCCCTCCGCCATTTCCAATCGACCCAATTTTACAAAGCTTGATATCACGGTGCAATATGGGATGCAATCCCTTACCAAACCCGAATCTTGCATCTTTCTCAAATAAGATTTCGCTTCATGTGGCATGTCAGCACTAGCCAAAATTTGTACGAGAGAACTATAGCTACATTTGTCTGGAAATACACCGTGACGCTCCATACTATCAAACAACTCGCACGCTTGATGATAGCACTTTGCTAACCCGTAAGCTTTAATCATAACATTGAACTCGAGCACGCTTAACTTATTCCCTTCTTGGCAACAACGGAAAACATTCTCAGCTTCACGGATATGCCCACGCTCTCCGTATGCATCGATGTTGGCAGAATAGCACTCGGACGTCATATTGCCTGCGAGGTGAAACCTTCTGAACCATAACCATGATTTTTCAAGGTTTCCAGCTTCTATATACATCCTCGTAAGAGCTGATTGGGTGTACTCATCGATCTCAAGGCCTCTGCAATCTGTTTCCGCTATAAGGTCTTCTGCTTCGTGAACCATCTGTCTTATTGAGTATGCATACAAGAGCGTACGGTAACTCACAAGGTCTGGCTCCAGGGAGGCCTCTTTCATCTTTCTAAAGTAGTTTGTTGCCATGTTTATATTATCGTGCTTAGCGTGCAGGGAAATTAGAATATTATATGTTCTTGTGTCGGGCGGACACCGAAGCTCTTCCATCTTCCGCATAAGCGAATTCACTTCTTCAAGTTGACCATTGTTCCCACAAATGTGAATCATAGTATTGAAAGTAACTGTTGTTGGTGCTTTCCCTTCTCTAAGCATCTGTGCAAACACTTCAGACGCTTCCTTGAGTTGCCCAGCTTTCCCATACGTGTCGATCAACATGTTATACGTGTGCGAGCTTAAACAAACATTGGAATTCAAGGCACCCTCCACTTTAGTGGTACCATTCATAGCATCACCTTCTTTTCTCAAAACTTCACCGAGTGACCACTTCTTGAAAAAGTCCTCGGCTTTCTGAAACTCCCCTGCCTTCTTATACATCTGAACAACAATTCCCATAGTAACCTCATCGGGTTCCATTCCTTGCTCGTTCATTTTCGCTAACCAAACAAGCGCTTCCTTCTTAAGCCCGCCTTTGCTATAAACATCGATCAAAGTTCCATAAGTCGAATTAATCGGCGCAATTCCCTTGACACTCATTTCTTCCCAAAGACCCTCGACACGGCCCCACTTCCTCGCTTTCCCGAGAGTCCTGAGCATAATGTTGTAGTGAATGACATTCAGTTCATAACAACCTTTCCTCTTGAACCACTCAAAGATCTCCAAAGCTCTCTCACAACTCGCCTGCTCTTTCAAAATAATGCTCCTTTCCTTGTTGTTAAGATTATCCTCCCACGGCTTGAAAGCCTCGTCCAAGTCCTTAACCTCCTCCAACGCCTGAAAAATCGCCGGAATACACCCCCCATATGACACCCATTTCGTCGAACACTTGGTGTGCACTTTCTTAACCGCAAATTCTCTCTTCACTCCCGAGCCAGAAACTCTATTCTTCGCAATTCCGTCACTATCCCAAGACTTTTCTCTCTTTTCTCCATCTGGGTTTTCAACCAAACTGTGTTTCTTCGACGCGGGGTCGTGAACAAGACCGCCATTTGTTGTTCTATCACGAATGATGGGTTTTGTTTGAAGAAGTCTGTGTTTGTGTTTTCTTCGGTCTTTGTTAATGGGTTCGAGCTTTTCGATAGGAGAAACCGAGACTCCACCTGTTTTGGGCAGAATCTTGGTCGAACCCAGAAGTGGGAAGCAACCGGTATGAGTATCTAACTGAAGCTTCGCAAACATTTGTTTTGAGAAATGGATAAATTCTAAAGTTATTGAACGAGAAAGATTGGTCTTTGTCAGAACAATGACACGAACACGGGAAATATTATGGATGGATTTCCAAGTTCCTAGTTCACCTCAGACTAGTACTCTCTCTCTCTCTCTCTCTCTCTCGAAAATTGAACCGGGAAGGAAGAAAATTAAAAATATCCAACAAAAGAACAGCCAAAAATAATAATAAAAGAAAATAAAAAGAGGAGGTTTTGCCGTTAAGGGTAATGGTTATTCTCAATTTTGTCTTGTACTTTGAGTTTATTAAAAAAAAAAAAAAATCTTTCAGTACGTTACCACATGATAGGTTACACATAAAAATAAAAAAAATATATAAATTTAACAGATAAAAAAAAATCGACTTATTAATACGTAAAGCGTATTAAAAAATCTTTTTAAAAAAATAACCCTACATTATGTTCTCAAGATTTTATTAATAAATTAATAAGTTTAACTATTGCAGTTTAAAATAATCTTGTAACAAAAAAAAGAAAGAATAAGACATACTGTTTAAAAAACAAAGAAAAAAAATCATAGGAATTGTACTTTCAAGCAAAGTTGTAAAGCGTAATATGGTAGTTAGTGTTCTATTACAAGTTCACCTAAAAATTAAAAAAGTATAAATTTATTATGGATTTGAAATTTAGAGGTGTAATTTCAAGAACATACAAAATACAAAGTCATTTTTTGTTAAACTTAAAATATAAGGCGTAAAAAAGTAAATATTAAAAAAAAGGAAGTTATTAACGGTGTTGGTAAATGAATTATATGAGTATTGCTAGGATTGACAATTCTTATTGTTGTGTTGGGTTCATATCGTGCTATGCTTCTAAGCTGACACTATAATTCTTGACACATCAAATTCAATTAATAATTGTGTCAAAAGATAAAACTCAAACACTGACTCTTTAATTAAAGGATTGACACAAATATGATATGACCAGCCTATTTACTAAATGAGCAAATATTCGTGTTAACCTGAAATCCATTTTTTAAGCTAAAAAAAATTAAAAGAAATTAAAAAATCAGCAACTTTACAAAATAGTAAACTTAAAACAACAAAATAAAGTACTAAAATAGTAAACAACAATTAGACACAATAAAACCATATCAATTTTTACATATGTTTATGAAACATCTTATAAATGGGTTCATAATATGTCGTATTTCTGTCAACATATTTATGACACGTTTAATAAACGGGTTATTGTAGATTCATGTCGTGTTGACCATTTATTTAATCGTGTATGATGGGCTCGACCCGTTTGATTGAGACTCATTTAAAGCAAACTCAAACCCTTTAATTTCTTCTAGGTTTCAAGTCGTATTATAGTATCGTGACCCAAATTATTAGCCTTAAGTATTGTGTCACTTTAACAGTTCATTTTTAATTTTAATAAATTACTGCCTACATTTTTATTTTTCCATCATTTTGGCCTCTAATAGTAAAATAATAAAAGTGACAAGAATTTTTATATTTTAATAGGAAAATCACGTCCCAATTGCATAGGAAAATTACGTCCCAATCGCATAACATCTGAGATTTTCATAGAAACTAAATGTAAAAGAATGCGTCTATTTACACACTCTCTTTTTCTCTTTATACCCCCTTCTAAATAGAAGCCTCGCGTAATTTTAAAATAATAAAATTTACTTTTTACACACCCTTATTAGTCTAAAATTACCCATAACTATGTTTATGTAATTATTAATTCTTCACCATTCTATTTTTCTTTTCACACCCATTATTTCAATTTAATTCGATACTTATAGTATTATTACACCTATGTCATGTCATCGGAAGTTTTAATAACAATAACTAACTCAGTGCTGAAACTTTGGACGGGCTGCCCGTGATCACCGAAAAGTCTGAATTTTTGCCCGATGACCGAACCCGAAATGCCTAAAAATTTGGGCTGCCCGACCCGACCCGAACATTGCCCATGGACGGGCTTCGGGCAGAGGATGCTTGCCCGTGCCCGGTCGGGCTGCCCGATGCCCAACCAGCTGCCCGATTTTTTTTTTTATATTATATTTTTATGTTGTATAATAAGTAATAAGTATTTGTAATAATTTGTATAATTACAATATGTATATTACAATTTAAAATTTAAAATGAACACACGAACTATATAAAAACAAATTACTTCATTGATTTTTTAAATTTGTAATTCACGATTGCCTTGTTAAAAACCTTACCAAGAAAAACCCAATTGGGATAAAAACTTGGTAAGGAAAAAAGAGTGCAATCATTGTGGGACGAATTACAAATTTGACGAACTTACAAAGTCTATACAAGATTACAAATTACAATAAACACTATACAAATTAGAAATTACAAAGTAAATAAATATTTACAAATTAGAATAATAAAATTTAATTTGAAGCAGAAGGAGGATCGTCTTGAAAATTAAAAGTTAATCTATTAAATTCGTCGATCCATTCTTGGTTTGCAGGTAGATTGTATCGTGTAAGGTGTTGGTCGAACGGTCCCAATCCTTGATGTACA